GGATCTATACGGATCTATACAAATCTATATGGATCTATACGGATCTATACGGATCTATACAAATCTATATGGATCTATATGGATCTATACAAATCTATACGGATCTATATGGATCTATACGGATCTATACAAATCTATACGGATCTATACGGATCTATACGGATCTATATGGATATGCTCGTGGTCACAAAATAAATATCTGTTGAATGAAAAGCAGCTGAGGTTGATTCTGATGTTTCTGAGCTTCATCCAAAAATATATGTGAATTAAATTAAAGTGAGCAGTGTTTTTTAAACTCAGATTCAAACATTAAAATATGATTATTATTATTTTAATCAAACTGTCTGAAACACGATCATCTAATATTAAAACAGATTTTACCCCAGGAACACCAACACTAAAAGAAGTTAATGTTTTCGTTATCTGGATCTCCCCTGAAGCTCCGCCCACCGACCGACAGGTGACAGCTGCTCTGTTTCACCTGGACTAAGGTCCGATCCCATTTCAGTCTTCCTCTTGGTGTTGAGTGTCCTCGTCTGTGAGATGAGCCTTGATGAGGTAAGTGAGAGATATTAGGGGAGAGATCTTTCCCTGAGAAATGGGAAAGACTTCATGCATATGGGCGTGGCTGATGTGCAGACATATGTCAGGTGTAGTAGTGATGCAATGACAATGCTGTCTGCAGCGCTTGTGTTGTGGCGTGAGCTCTGATTATTCTCTCGTCTAATGAATCAACAGAGAAGAAATGCAGAAAACAGGAGGCGCCTACGACGTCTTCTAGTTCTGATCCATTTTGTTTAAATATGTTGATGCTGTGTTGCTGACCAGTTCACACTCGTCCCTCCGCCTGTTGTCTGTATCGCCTACATTACCGCCAGACAGTCAAAAACTCTCATCCTCTCTGCTTCCTGTACTGCTCATGGGCTTCCACGATCTCCTTGACGACAGACGGGTCATCCAGAGTCGACACGTCGCCGAGATCAGCTGATGTCTCTGTGGCGACCTTCCTGAGGATCCGCCTCATGATCTTCCCGGAGCGAGTCTTCGGCAGACGCTTCACCACCTGAGGGACACAAATACTGACTCCTGATTGGCTGCTTCATGATAGACACAAATACTGACTCCTGATTGGCTGCTTCATGATAGACACAAATACTGACTCCTGATTGGCTGACAGGTGTGTTCCTGTCTAAAGTAATGGGAGAGGTTATTTTGTCTCCTATGTTCCGTCAGACACAAACACACCTGTGCATTCAGGTGTCATGTTACTGTTTCAGGTGTGTGGATGATGTTGTTGCCATGGTAACCGGGGGACTCACCAGGAAGTGCTCGGGGACGGCGTACTTGGCGATCTTTGTGGAGACGAGCTCTCGGAGCTGCCGGAGGACGACGGCAGAGTCGACATCAGACTCCTCCTTCAACACCACGAAGGCGAACGGCACTGAGGACACACACACACACACACACACACACACACACACACACATTAACTTCACAGACACTAAGAGGTTAAAGTCAAAATGATGTAGAAGATCTTCTCCTGAAAATAAATAAATAAATAAATAATGTGATGATGATGATGATGATGGTCAGTATTCTGCTCTGTGATTGGTTCATCAGTATCATTAATGAGCAGGTTCAGTGAGCGACCAGCAAGAGGCAGCAGAGGGCCACAGATCAAACTCATCATGTTTCACCTCATCTGATTTTTACTGCAATAATCTATAATCAATAATCAATAATCAATAATCCAACACACTGATGTCAACCTGCTGCTGAGATTGAAAACTAAACAATACACAACATTTTGACGTCACTGCAGGTTTTTATTTATTTATATTTTTAAGTCATTCTTCTTTGATTTAATGTAAAATAAGAATAAAAAAAGATAAAACTGAAAAATAATATTAATAAATAATAACAATAAATAACAAGAAACATTTAATTAAAATAAATAAATAAAAAAATCCAAACTCATTTTGATCCTATTTACTAATGTATATATTAATCTATTATTTAAAAAATAGAGAATTCATTCATTCATTCATCTTCTAACCGCTTCATCCTCTTGGGGGTCACAGTGGGTGGAGCCTATCCCAGCTGACACTGGGTGAGAGGCAGGGTTCACCCTGGACAGGTCTCCAGACTATCTCAGGTCTGACACATATAGACAGACAACCATTCACTCTCACATTCACACCTACGGACAATTTAGAGTCACCAATTAACCTGCATGTCTTTGGACTGTGGGAGGAAGCTGGAGCACCTGGAGGAAACCCACACTGACACAGGGAGAACATGCAAACTCTGCACAGAAGGGCCCCCACGCCCGGGATCGAACCGGCAACCCTCTTGCTGTGAGGCGACAGTGCTAACCACCACACCACCGTGCCGCCCAAAATAGAGAATTATTATTGGTAAATATAATGAAAAATTAAATTCAAATTGATAAAAATCAATAAAAAATTAAGTATCAACGGTAAAAAATAAAAAAAATTAAAATTCAAAGGAATAAATAAAATTTAAACAGTAACTTTTGTTTTGATTGAATCAAATAATCTATAAATCAATTCAATAATTAAAACATGAAATAATAATATTAATTTAAACAAATAAACAAATAAGTCATTAACATTCTGATTATAATTACTAATCTATGTATTCATTTAAAGATACTGAAAATGAATAACAGTTAATAATCCGATAAATTTCAATTCAAATAAATAAAGAACTGATACATGAAGAGTAAATAATAATAAAAATATAAGGTCAAATAAAAACAAAATACAGATTCATGAACTTCCTGTTGATGTGACGACTAAACAGCTGACAACATCTGACATGTTTACATGTAAACACCACACAGAGTAACAGAGCAGCATAGCATGATGGGAGCTCAGGTGTGTTTTCAGTCTCACCTTCTCCTTTGATGTCGTGTGGGATCCCGATCACAGCTGTCTCTGGAACAGCTGGATGTTCATCCTGTAAACAAACAAACAATTATCTTCACAGAGTCTGTAAACATCATCTCACACCTTTGTTATTCTCGTCTTCAAACACACTTCATCTCATGTCTCATCATCTTATCTCACACACTGGGGACAAAGAATGACTCAAGTTTAAATAAATAAATAGAATTTATTTGTGTTATATTTATTATTGTTGTGTTTCTGTGCCTGTGTGTTAATGAGGAGCTCCTGTTTATTTATTCTTTTATTTTCATATCTATTCCATCATATAAGATGTGTCCTGTGCATGAGGTGTCTCACCAGAGCGTCCTCGATCTCCGCCGTACCAAGACGGTGACCGCTGACGTTGATGACATCATCCATGCGTCCAGTTATCTGGTAGTAACCGTCCTCAGAGCGGTACGCTCCGTCACCGGTGAAATAATAACCTGACAGGATGAATCAGTACATCAGCTCTCACCCTGACCTTTATGAAATATACTCACAAAGACATAATAACAATAACAATAACAATAACAATAACGATGATGATGATGATGATGATACCAGGATATGGTTTGAAGTAGGCCTCGATGAATCTCTGGTGGTCTCCGTAGATACTGCGAGCCATGCCGGGCCACGGCTGGCTGATACACAGAGCTCCACTCACACCGTTACCTGTCAGACGTTCACCCTGTCAACACAGAAAATGCGTTAGCATGTCAGGCTAACTAGCTTCTTTCCAGCAGCAGCAACAATGTTTCACTTCCAAGGCTAACAGTTAGCATTAGCTTTCATTAGCCTGCTACATCAATCATTATACAGCTGGTGAAGATGACGACTTGAAATGGGACCTGTTAGCTTTAGCCTCAGTCTGTTAGCATAGCATATGCTAAGTCCACTGTGTAGAGACTCTGTGGAGAACAGATTAAAAACCTACTTTAGTCAGTTTGTGTCTTTGTGGTTGTTGTGTCTTTGTGGTTATTGTTTTGTCTTTGCAGTTGTTGTTTGTGTCTTTGTGGTTATTGTTTGTGTCTTTGTGGTTGTTGTTTGTGTCTTTGTGGTTGTTGTTTGAGTCTTTGTGGTTATTGTTTGTGTCTTTGTGGTTGTTGTTTGTGTCTTTGTGGTTATTGTTTGTGTCTTTGTGGTTGTTGTGTCTTTGTGGTTATTGTTTGTGTCTTTGTGGTTGTTGTTTGTGTCTTTGTGGTTGTTGTTTGAGTCTTTGTGGTTATTGTTTGTGTCTTTGTGGTTGTTGTTTGTGTCTTTGTGGTTATTGTTTGTGTCTTTGTGGTTGTTGTTTGTGTCTTTGTGGTTGTTGTTTGAGTCTTTGTGGTTATTGTTTGTGTCTTTGTGGTTGTTGTTTGTGTCTTTGTGGTTATTGTTTGTGTCTTTGTGGTTGTTGTTTGTGTCTTTGTGGTTATTGTTTGTGTCTTTGTGGTTGTTGTTTGTGTCTTTGTGGTTATTGTTTGTGTCTTTGTGGTTGTTGTTTGTGTCTTTGTGGTTATTGTTTGTGTCTTTGTGGTTGTTGTTTGTGTCTTTGTGGTTATTGTTTGTGTCTTTGTGGTTGTTGTTTGTGTCTTTGTGCTTATTGTTTGTGTCTTTGTGGTTGTTGTGTCTTTGTGCTTATTGTTTGTGTCTTTGTGGTTATTGTTTGTGTCTGTGGTTATTGTTTATGTCTTTGTGGTTGTTGTTTGTATCTTTGTGGTTGTGTCTTTGAGGTTATTTGTGTCTTTGTTGTTGTGTCTTTGAGGTTGTTTGTGTCTTTGTGGTTATTGTTTGTGTCTTTGTGGTTGTTGTTTGTATCTTTGTGGTTGTGTCTTTGAGATTGTTTGTGTCTTTGTTGTTGTGTCTTTGAGGTTGTTTGTGTCTTTGTGGTTATTGTTTGTGTCTTTGTGGTTGTTGTTTGTGTCTTTGTGGTTATTATTTGTGTCTCTTTGGTTGCTGTGTCTCTGGGTTATTGTTTGTGTCTTTGTGGTCATTGTTCGTGTCTTTGTGGTTGTTGTGTCTTTGTGGTTGCTGTTTGTGTCTTTGTGGTTGTTGTTTGTGTCTTTGTGGTTGTTGTTTGTGTCTTTGAGGTTGCTGTGTCTTTGTGGTTGCTGTTTGTGTCTTTGTGGTTGTTGTTTGTGTCTTTGTGGTTGTTGTTTGTGTCTTTGTGGTTGCTGTGTCTTTGTGGTTGCTGTTTGTGTCTTTGTGGTTGTTGTTTGTGTCTTTGTGGTTGTTGTTTGTGTCTTTGTGGTTGCTGTGTCTTTGTGGTTGCTGTTTGTGTCTTTGTGGTTGTTGTTTATGTCTTTGTGGTTGTTGTTTGTGTCTTTGAGGCTGTTGTGTCTTTGTGGTTATTGTTTGTGTCTTTAAGATTGTTGTTTTTGTCTTTGTGGTTATAGTTTGTGTCTTTGTGGTTGTTGTTTGAGTCTTTGTGGTTATTGTTTGTGTCTTTGTGGTTGTTGTTTGTGTCTTTGTGCTTATTGTTTGTGTCTTTGTGGTTGTTGTGTCTTTGTGCTTATTGTTTGTGTCTTTGTGGTTATTGTTTGTGTCTGTGGTTATTGTTTGTGTCTTTGTGGTTGTTGTTTGTATCTTTGTGGTTGTGTCTTTGAGGTTATTTGTGTCTTTGTTGTTGTGTCTTTGTGGTTGTTTGTGTCTTTGTGGTTATTGTTTGTGTCTTTGTGGTTATTATTTGTGTCTTTGTGTTTGCTGTGTCTTTGTGGTTATTATTTGTGTCTTTGTGTTTGCTGTGTCTTTGTGGTTATTGTTTGTGTCTTTGTGGTTGTTGTGTCTTTGTGGTCATTGTTCGTGTCTTTGTGGTTGTTGTGTCTTTGTGGTTGCTGTTTGTGTCTTTGTGGTTGTTGTTTGTGTCTTTGAGGTTGCTGTGTCTTTGTGGTTGCTGTTTGTGTCTTTGTGGTTGTTTATGTCTTTGTGGTTGTTGTTTGTGTCTTTGTGGTTGTTGTTTATGTCTTTGTGGTTGTTGTTTGTGTCTTTGAAGTTGTTGTGTCTTTGTGGTTATTGTTTGAGTCTTTGTTGTTATTGTTTGTGTCTTTGTGGTTGTTGTGTCTTTGTGGTTATTGTTTGTGTCTTTGTGGTTGTTGTTTGTGTCTTTGTGGTTATTGTTTGTGTCTTTAAGATTGTTGTTTGTGTCTTTGTGGTTGTTGTGTCTTTGTGGTTATTGTTTGTGTCTTTGTGGTTATTGTTTGTGTCTTTGTGGTTGTTGTTTGTGTCTTTGTGGTTATTGTTTGTGTCTTTGTGGTTGTTGTGTCTTTGTGCTTATTGTTTGTGTCTTTGTGGTTGTTGTTTGTATCTTTGTGGTCATCTCGACTCTCTCTGTCCAGTAACAATCACCCAGTCACACCCTCAGAGATAATTGTGGTACGATCTGAACACACGTCTAACTGAACACTTTTCCATCATAGTATTTCTCCACTACAGAGAACACTGACAGTGGCTCTGTTCAAGCAGCTGACTTGTTTTTTCACATGTCCCTGTATCTTCATCCTGCAGCTCTCCTCCTCCTCCTCCTCCTCCTCTGTGAGATGAAGGCCAGTGTTAAGTGGTACAAATGAAACCCTGTGGTCTTCATCAGCACAGTTTGTGTTCACTATTGAGAGGATTGAAGTCACAGTGACCTTGACCTCCTGTGAGGATGAAGAGTGAAACTGAAGGAGGCCTAATCTAATCTAATCTAGTCTACATGATGAGAAACCCTCGAGCGCCGGCAGCAGATTACAGGCCGGGAACAGAGCGGAGAGGGGAAACCAGCGGATAATTAATTTGGGGGAAAGTCTGGTAATCAAAGCAAACAGATGCTGCTGCTGCTGCTTTAATAGAAAGATTAAACTGAGACAGAGACACCGTGTCATTCGAAGGCTCTTTTGACCTCTTACGTCTCAAGGTCAAGTGGGGTTAACGAGACCCTGAGATTGGTGGCAGATCACATCTGAAGCTGATTGGACGAGAGCTAACTGGAAACCTCAAATCCTCCGAGTTTTTAACGTCTTTAAGCTCACTTTAATCAGAGTCCCTCCAGGTTTCTGACGAGTTTCATCTGGTCGTCCAGCATCACAACATTGGACCTGAACACATCACGTTCATGTGCTCATGTGCTCATATGTTCCTGTGCTCATGTGTTCATGTGTTCCTGTGCTCATGTGCTCCTGTGTTCATGTGTTCCTGTGCTCATGTGGTCATGTGTTCCTGTGTTCATGTGTTCCTGTGCTCATGTGCTCATGTGTTCCTGTGTTCATGTGCTCATGTGTTCATGTGTTCCTGTGTTCATGTGCTCATGTGTTCATGTGTTCCCGTGTTCCTGTGTTCATGTGTTCCTGTACTCATGTGTTCATGTGTTCCTGTGCTCATGTGTTCCTGTGTTCATGTGCTCATGTGTTCATGTGTTCCTGTGCTCATGTGTTCCTGTGTTCATG